TTTCTTCACCTATAAAATGAAGTAATGATAGCTGGTATTATTAACATAATAATACTTGGGGGTAATAATAACAGATTGAGTTGCTATGAAGAAAGAGCTTTGTAAATCATAAACCTCTATGTGAATATGAGTAATCATCTCTTTGTAACTGTATCCTTCTATTTTTATCATCTCTTGTTAAATAATCACAATTATTTTGAATATGCATAGTCATAGGTTGTTCTCTAATGTTTCCATGAGTTTTTTCTTTTGCTGATGGTACCAGATTGATATGTGGTTAATAACTGGATTGACCAGTTAAATTGGGTGGTGATTGTTTGCTTTTTACATATTATGGTAATTCTTGTTGGAGCACATACTCCATGTTGGAGCATGATCCCACTTGATAACTGAAACTGGTTGCCCACTGGGGGGTAACAAATGTTGCCTGAACTTTGCTTTACATTTGCTTACATACCATATGTGTGAATTTCCCCAGACATACTTTGTTTATGAGTTGTGTTCATAAGATCATAATGTCAGAGATTTAGAACTAGAGGGAACTTGGAAGCCATTTATTCTAACCTTTCATTTTTCTTTTTCCTTTTTTTTTAGAGGGAGGGGCTAGGCAATGGGGGTAAGTGATTTGCCCAGGGTCACACAGCTAGTAAGTGTTATGTGTCTGAGGCCGGATTTGAACTCAGGTCCTCCTGAATCCAGGGCTGGTGCTCTATCCACTGCGCCACCTAGTTGCTCCCGTAACCTTTCATTTTTCATAGGAGGAATACTGAATGATTTTCAAACAAACATATCAGAACTTAAATGTCCAAATAAATGTAGTTTTCTTCAAAGTAGTCACTTGGGGGAAGTTATGCACTTATTTTGTGGATGCTGCCATTGTTTGAAATAAAGCTGGAATTCCTATATCGGAATCGCCTTGAACTTAATTTGATAAATATTTGTTGGCCCCAATCCTTTGAGGGTGGGCGTGACTTTTAGAAACAGACATCATGTCATTCTGAGCAAATCCTAGTGAATTACAGAAGTGATCAATTTGGGTGGTGATTTTTAGGGTTAAAAATGAGGTATAACCCACATGGCAAGGAAATTTGTTTAATTATGTGTTTCATAAAGGTCTAGAATAAAAGAAATAAAAATTCCCAAAGATTAGACAATGCCAGTATGAAAGAAATGAATGCTCCTAGTTATCAGAGTTAAACAAAGAGTTAGCCCCAGGGACTTTCCTAAAGATGGAGGGTGACAATTGCAAAGGAGAATAGCTTTGGTGAGGGGAAGTTCCCAATCTGGTTGCATCATTAGAGCTAAAACCACAGGGAACACTGTGTCTGCTGCCAGACCCAGAAAGATCTTGTGGTGGTAAAGATAGTGTTCAAAGACTGGGAAAACTTTACAGGGCGAGAAAGAAAGAATGAAAAAAGGAAGGAAGGAAAGAAGGAAGGAAAAAGAAAGGAAGGAAGGCAATAAAGAAGGAAGGAGAGAGGGAGAGAGAGATAGATCCTGAATAAGAGAGATTTTGAACGAGAGCCTCACTCAAGATTAGGAGCCAGAATAGGACTGTAGCAACACCTGGTGACACCTGCTGGGCATAATGAGGAAGTGCAGAGGAGAGAAGCACGCATGTGGGAGACCTGAGAGTGACTGGGAATTTATGGAGAGCACGTGTTGAATGGTGCACCTTTCAGTTTCCAGGTTTTGTTACAAATTCTATTTTCCTTCTTCATTCTTTCCGCAAAATGTTCCTTCATTAGTAGATCTGTAATTCATGCTTAATAAGAGAGTTATCAGAAAACTGGCTGACAACTCTTTTCTGAGACTCTTAAGGCAGGACCTGGTAGAAGGATGATAAATCCCTGAAGCATACCTGGGCTATGTGTTAGAGTGTTTGACACTAAGGCTAAATAAATACATTTGTCTGTTTGAAAAAAAAATCAGTCTTATCCAAAGCCCAGTTCCCCAGGACAGTGACAGAGTGTCTAGAAGACTGGGCTAAAAGTCAGGAATACTTGAGTTCAAATCCTATTTCAGATACTTACTTGCTGTGTGACCTTGTGCAAGTCACTTAACCCTATTTGTCTCAGTTCTTCACCTGTCAAATGAGCTGAAGAAGGAAATGGCAAACTGCTCCAGTATCTTTGCCAAGGAAAATTCCAAGTGGAGTCACGAAAGGTTGGGCAACTGAAAAACAACTGAATATAAAGGTACAGCAATGTCTGGCAAGGGACTGGCTGGTCACAGAACCCCTTAGATTTATAGTTCTTCCCAGGTTGGAAGCAGAAAAAACTCTTAGATGAGCCCTCAGAGAGTGGGGTAGAAGCTTTTACTGACCATCTATGGTGGGAGCTGTGGAACTATCCAGCACCCAGTGTCTGTCATTCAAGACCACGAGTGATAACTTTTCAAGGGACAAGCTGGGAGGTATGGCTATATGGTTTTTTTGTTTGTTTTGTTTTGTTTTTTTTATCACAGGCACTTGCTAGGGAACTTGAGAGAAATAAATCAGCTGAAAGCTATGGATGGACCTTGCCTGGCCTTACTAATTATTGTTTGTGTGTTTTCATTTTTCCTATTAATGAATTTATTTTTGGATTGAATATTATTTCTCATAAACACCTGTGGTTTAACCTGTCACTATATTGCCAGATGTGCCTTTTTTTTTTTTTGGCATGAGGCTGCAATCAGAACTGCTCAGAAGAAAGGGTTAGGGGCTGGGAGCTCAACCAGTAGCCGATTGTTAGGGGGTGGTATTCTTTAATTGGGGGAATAAACATGGACCATTTCAAAACTACTTTTCTAGGGGCAGCTAGGTGGCACAGTGGATGGAGCACCAGCCCTGAAGTTAGGAGGACCTGAGTTCAAATCTGGCCTCAGACCAAACACTTGACACTTACTAGCTGTGTGACCCTGGGCAAGTCACTTAACCTCAATTGCCAAAAAATAAAAAAAACCCAACTACTCTTCTAAGTGAAGAATTATTATGAATGAGAACCATGTTGCATAACTCTTCCTCATGTTACAAAGGCATACCGTGCATACTGTTTTTTTTCCAGCCAACATCACTAAACAGTAACCTCATTAAAATATTATAAGCAAACTCTACCACAAAGCCACAATCCCCTTTCCCACTGTAACATTATTTACACACATTATATAAGTGACCACCCATTTATAACATTTCTCCTATGTTTTCCCCTGTAATGTCAGTTCACCTAATATCAGGTTTTCATGAAACCAATAAGAATGTTAGGTAGGATGTGTCTAAATATAAGATGAGGAATGGTATGACTTAATTGATGGAGAGATGGTCTAGGAGTCAGAATGATGTGGGGTTGAGATATATCTCTTATACACTCTGCTGTGAGATCTTGGGGCATGTCAATGTTTCAGTGGCCTAGGCAAGTCTCCAAGACTATATATTTCATAGCAAGTGTCAATCAGTATTGCTTAAGGAAGTCAATCACTGGGAGCTCCCTACATCTACGAAATTATAGGTGTGGTGAAAAAAGAATCATGCAAAAGTGACATTTTCATTAAAAAATTAAAGGGCATCTCGTATATACCTCTTTAAGCAAATAAGTAAATGTATATTTCATTCCACTCTCCCAACTTAAAAAAAAGAGGGGGAAAAGCACTTGTGTACATTATAGAATGGAGCTTTCTTACTAAGGAAATTTAAATTCTCTGTCTTTTGGGCCGTTTCACTTAGAGTGAGCAATGCTACTAAGGCTAAGAGTATGAGTTAACTGATTATATGAGCTACCGACCTTTGCACAGAAAAATAACTTCCACAGCCACAGATGGCATCATTAATCCATGCCAGCCATCTTGAAAATGTGTCACACCATATGTACAAAAATATTTATAGCAGCTCTTTCTGTGGTGGCAAAGAATTGGCAATTGAAGGGATGTCCATCAATTGGGGAATGGCTAAACAAGTTATGGTATATGCATGTAATGGAATACTATTGCTCCATAAGAAATGATGAGCAGGTGGACTTCAGAAAAACCTGAAAAGACTTACATGAACTAATGTTGAGTGAAGTGAGCAGAACCAGGAGAACATTGTACACAGTAACAGCAACATTATGCAATGACCAACTTTGATAGACTTAACTCTTCTCAGCAATGCAATCATCTAAGAGACTCTTGGGGTGAGGAACCTGTGGCTTATGTGGACTTCTAGGTCCTTGGGTGCAGCCTTTTGATGGAGCCCAAGTTTTCCAGAACAAATCCTTTTATTCAGGGGATTTGTTCTGTGAAGTTTGGATTCAGTCAAAGGGCCGCATTTGAGGACTTAGAGGGCCACATGTGGCCTCAAGGCTGCAGGTTCCTCACCCCTGTGAGACTCGTGATGGAAAATGCTATCCACATCCAGAGAAAGTACTGTGGAGTCTGAGTGCAGTTTGAGGCATCTTATTTTCTTTCTTTCCCCTTCCCCCCTTTTCGTGGTTTTCTCCTTTTGTCCTGATTCTTCTTTTACAATATGACTGATGTGGAAATATGTTCAATATGATTGTACATGTATAGTCTATACCAGATTGCATGCTGTCTTAGGGAAGGAGGAAGGAAGGGAAGGGGAAAATTTAGAACTTAAAATCCTATAAAAGTGACTGTTGAAAACTAAAAATAAATAAAAAAAGAAAAAAATCCAAAAAACTGTGTATCACAGATCTTAAGGGAAACTGGGCAAGAGCATCACACATTACTCCCAATGAAAAAGTGACTCAGAATTAATTCCCTGATTGTATGAGGTGAATAATGTTGATTTGCTATGTAAAGGGTGAACTATTCTATTATTTTGTGGAAAGTTGAGCTTTTAATTTAAAACATATTCATTCATAGCTGAATTTAATGGAATGACTGGAGGAAGGACAAGGAAAAGAAAACTAGAGTACAAATTTTCGGCTCATCAAAACCTTTATAACTTTTACAGGTAAGAGGTTGTTTTGTCCCTATTTTACAAGTCAGGGCAAAGTACTTAAATACCAAATCATAGAACACACACACACACACACACACACACACACACACAACACACACATTATGCACGTGCAAACAGGGCTCACTCTGCGCATGTCCAGGTCATGTAACATGGAGCTACCTTGCTTCTGGGAGAAGATATCCTGTTTCCCCACCATGTGGGTGGGAGTCACCTCCTGAGATCAGTCACATAGCCAGAATAGGCTGGTCTTCTCCAGGGGCTGGCACAGTCTCCATCTATTTCCTGTATGCTCTTTCCTGCTCGCTGAACAGAGAGAGTGAAGATCTAAGTTCACCCACAGCATGGGTGCGATGAATTGACTGTGTTTGGGGACAGGCTTCTTCCCCTCATTTCCCTTCCTTTTCAGACTGTAACCCTGAGAAATGGACCTGAGGTTTTTGCTTAGCTTGTTCCCTTTGTCCTTTTCAATTCCAGATGCAGGTAGTAGAATCTCCACTGGACCCAAGAGTCTGAGCTATGACTACCTTGGAGGCAGACTTCCAGACCAGATGGGTAGCCAGACAGCCCACCCATCAGGGAAGCCCTGAGAAGCCAAGGTGCCTAGGAACTCAAGCTGAAGGGAAGGCTTTGGACTTGGGGCTTGGGACTGTGCTGTATAGGAGCTAAGTGAATTTAATCTCCTTTCTCTTTCTGAGTATGAGTTGGTGCCAAGGGGGTTATGTCTCCCATGTGTTGGGGAGTATGCTTGAGTATTTGTTATAACACTTTTGAAGTAATACTCGTTGTAATGTAAATGTAATGTAATGTAAAAGCTACTCTGTTAGTGGCTAAATGAAAATAGGGTACAGAGGACCCACCACTAGGATTGGAGGAATGCCATCAGTGGGAGCCAAAGCCATGGGTAGAGAGGCTACCCCCCCCAAAAAAAAGGCTCTGGAGAATCCCAGGGGGGGTGAAATGTAACACAGTTGGCCTTCAGGCAGTGGGGGCCAAAGTGGGTGCCTGATACACAAACCTCAGCATTTCAAGGATCATCTTCCCCTTCATGTGGATTAGAAGTACTCCTTAACTTAGAAGTCAGTCTTCATGAGTTTCTGTATCAGAAACATTACCAGCTTTCTGTGAACATGGTGACAGGCCTTTCTGGATTTAGATGATAGCTTACTGAGCACCACCAGACCTTTCCAGCAGGGTAGCACATACCAAAGCTTTTACCTTGCTGCTACAGTCTTCAATAAGTGCTTCTATCATGTTATGATGGAACATGGGAGGGTTTTAATGAAAGGAATGTGTGTATATATATATATGTAAATATATATTATACACACATATACACACATACATACATACACACATGTGGAGACAGAGAGGCAAAAAAGTACAATACATGTACCCTCAAACTACGGCCACGTGACCTTAGTCCCTGGAGAAAGTAGGCTCAAATTTATAGTAGCCATAAAGCATTTGACTCACCAGCTTCACTTCCAAACGTGGCATAGCCGATGAACAAAGTCTTTCCCTTGGTTACACAAAACAGCATCTCAGATGGATGGCTGGGTCACATAGGTCACTTGGGGCTTCCCTCTTCACCATGTTCAGTTTTCTGCCTATTTAGGCATGAACTCCCTTCCTAACCCATCGCCCGTAGACCTCTTGAACTTCACAAAGTCTGTCTGACTCTTTCGCCTTCACCTGAGTCAGGAAAGAAGAGGGGACACAACAGAGACAGAAGGTAGTAAGATCATGTGCTCACAGCCCTCAAGCCTTGGTGACAGAAGGTCAAGGCTCCTCCCTTCCTCCCTCAGAGGAGCCCAGCAGCTTGAAAGCCACCAGGCAGGAAAAAAATAAGAGCTAGGTGATAGTACTTGGGGCTTTTGTGTGATACTTAGTTCTGGCTCAGGAGCCAGGTGAAAATCTTTTCCTCAAAACAGGAAATACACAGTATGGGGGTGGCGTGGAGGGAGAGAGAATAATCATGTATATAGCCCTTACTGTATGTTCCAGCCACCGTGTTAAGTATTTTATCTCATCTGATCCTCAAAACAACCCTGCAAGATAGATGCTGTTATATAGTTGAGGAAATTGAGGCAAAGAGAGGTTAAGTGACTTGCCTAGGGTCATACATCTAGTTAGTATCTGAGGGTGGATTTGAACTCAGGTCTTCCTCAGCTCTAGGCTCAGAGCTTTATCCATTTTACCACCTAGCTGCCTCAATTAATTAATATACTAATTTAAACTCTTGCTTTGCAATTTTAAAGATAACATATAGATCAATAGAGATTTATGCAAGTGAATTTACAAAAGGATGCATGGCTGCATCTCCTAGGAAAGCCCAGTAATTTAATCCCCAAATGGAATTCAGTCTTGCTTTGTTACTCCTTTTGCAATTCCAGTTTTGTCTGAGAGACTTGACTCTGATTCTCAGGCGTGTGCTCATATAACTGTTGCTGATTTCAGAAATTATCTCATGATTATGTACAATTAAGGCTAAGGTAGTGGCTGTTCTTGTATTTCTATGGGTAAATTTCCAAAGGCCTTTTTTGTGTATAGTTGCTAACAGCCTTGCAGTCCTGCACCTCCAGATTTGGATCCTAACCAACTCAGTGCTCCATAAAGCATCAAGTACATCAGTGGGGTTCAAAAACCAGCCAATACCTGCAGAGATAGTGAGAACAGTAAAACAGGTGTTTTATGAGTCCAGTACAGATATAACAGAAACAATGCTGCACTTGGTGTCAAGGGACATCTGCCAGCCCTTAGGACTTACTAGCCTTGGGCAATTTACTTGACTTGGTTGTCTGAGTTTCCTCATCTGTAAAATGGTGAAGATAATACCTGTTCCACTTACCTTTTAGGGTTGTAGTGAAAATCAAATGAGATTTTGTGTATGTAAAGCATGTCAAAAACTTCAAATCTTTATATATATATATGCCAATTGTCATTATTGTTCTTGTTCCTTCAAAGAAATACTTTGCTATACCCTTTGGTCCTTTGCTGGGACCATACCCTGTCAATATTATTTATAAAAAAGAGAAAGAGAGAGAGATCTGGTTAAATATTTTCATCTATTTTCATATCAACGTTGTATGTAATTGCAATAAACTGGAAACAACATAAAAAGAAATAGTTAAATAATTTGGGGTATATCAATATAATGGAATATTATCATGTAAACCAGGCTGATAAATGAATTTAGAGAAACATGAAAAGACTTGTGAAATAATATAAAGCAATTCTTCACATAAGAACATATATGTTCTTCTTTTGGTTTTAGTCTATGGTGGAGACTTGAGGGGAGCCGGTTTCTGGCAACAATGACTCAGGGGTTGGTACATGATGATGAAATCCCCTTTAATTTTGGCTGCAAGGCTAGAAGAACTGATGATTCATGAGTTGTGGAGCCAAAACCAAGTACACAAAAAAAAAATAAAATAAAATAAGGTGTGACCCACCCACCTTTCAGTATTTTTCCTTGTGGCTGAAGGGTAGCAAGATGACTTTGCACTGCCTCCCGCAATTCTGAGTAGGGGAAAATCACCAGCCTTGCCTTCTACCCTGCCTTGAGGGCTGTGAGCACATAGCCACTTTTGTCTTTTTACATTTATTATTTCCTGATTTTAGGGGAATAAGAGTTCTAAGATGGGAGTGGACAGGGAACTTGGTATGTTTGGGAGACTCAGAGGTCTCACCATCTATCAGACAGGATAGTAACATCCATAACAGCATTAGTGCGCGAAGCACTGTGTACAGAAGAATATGGAAAAGACAGGCCCGAAAGTATTCAGGGAATGTGATCCTTTGTGATTAAAGGATCACATGTGCCTAGACTTTTGAAAAGCATCAATCCTCAGAGCCCAGGAAAGAACTAGGCTAGAGAGAAATTGCATGAATATTCCATGGAGAGATAATGACCTCCAGAGCCAGGAGTCAGAAAGTACCCCTTTGCCATATAGGTTCTCAACATATATGATATCTATCATTGTACTCTTTAAACCCAATCTCCCCACAGACCTTGTGTGTAGAAGAGGAGAATATGTGTCTGGCTGGAGGTGATGGGAATGTCTTTGTATCAACTTTTAATATCATATCTTCTCAGTAAATCTAAAAGTCAATTAAGTCTGTCTGGCATAATTGCTAATAAGGAGCATACTGGTGGGGGCTTATGATTAATAATATTCTAATATTATATTCTAACATATTCTAATAAGCTTAACCTCTTAAGTTTACTCCCAGATCCATGAAAGGAGACATAATCAGCCACCCTCTAGGGACCAGCCTGCTACTATGCCAGTGCAGGTCGGGGGAGTAAACTAGGAAGGGATACGCATATACACACACACATGTGTAACACCCACCACCCACATAAATATTCATTCATTCTTCACATCTCTAATCTTATTTTGCCCTGGAAACTACTCTGTAAAGTAGTGATTATTGTTCCCATTTTACAGTTGAGGAAACAGAGGCACAGAAGTTGGTTTTCTGATGCAGTATCAGACATCTGGTTCATGGTCACTGCCCTGACTTTTAGCCTAGCATGCCTTTTATCAGGCAATCCTGCTTTTGTAATTGTTAGGATATTAGAAAAGAAAAACTTCTATGAAGATATTTTCTTTCACGCTCTGAATGGAAAACATTGGAAAACTGTTTCAATGAGACGTGGCTTTCTGTTCGCTATCGTTCACACTAGGCCTCCTGAATGCCTCCTGTTGTTGTGACAGCCCCCTTTCCCTGCAAGTGCTGATAATGGCAGATGGGAAAGGCTGAATTGAAGGTTTATGAGGTCAAGTGCAAATAAGACACACCTGCCTTTATGCTTCTTCCCTAATCTTCTGTCCAAGGCTAAAACAACAGGAAAGAAGTCACGTTGCTGGAATAGAGGCAAGGCCATTAGAAACTTGACTCCCCAAATGGAAGTTTCACAAGATTAATGATTTGCTTTAAAACTATAGGCAAGAAACATTAGACTCCATTTATCTTGCAGGAAATGACTGATAAGTTCAGGATAGTTCTGGGTTGGCTTCTTTCTTTTTCTTTCTTTTTTTTTGCAGGAGATCTGATCCAACATTAATTTTAGATGCAGTTTGATTCACAATGTAATAGGAATAAAAAACTCAACAACTAAGTTAGATATAATGAGAAAATTGGAGACTTTGTATTCAGAAGTTTCTTTCCTAAGTTAACTACTTGGAATTTAGAGCACAGGTGAAGCTGGGTGCTGTCCCATACGTTTTCAATGTGTAATCAATGGAGAGTCAGCCTTACCAGGTAGGGGATTGAGTGTTTGTCTTAGAAGGGGATTGAAGTGGGTACAAATTGCAAATTGCTATGGACATTCATGAGCTATATGGCCATGGGCAACTCATTTAAGTTTTTGGAGCCTCAAGCACTATCTTTCTGTTATTGTCCATTCATGTCCGCTTCATGACACCTCATTTGTGGTTTTGTTGACAAAGTGCTTTGCTATTTCCTTCTCTAACTCATTTTACAGATAAATAAACTAAGGAGAGTGAAATGACTTGCCCAGGGTCACACAGTTAGTAAGTGTCTGAGCCTGGATTTGATTTCAGGAAGATGAGTCTTCTTGACTCCAGGCCTGGCACTCTATCTACTGTGCTACCTAGATGCCCTATTGCATTATTACTATATACACTATTCTTCTATTAATCCACAAAATGAATTGAGGGAGTTCCCACACTGAAATTACAGGTCTTTAATACATTGACATATAATAAGTATGCAATAAGATATACATTTATTCAATAATGATTTGCCTAAAGTAAAAGTCTATTTTCTTCCTTGTGAATTATTAATATAGCCCTTCTGTTTTTACTAATCACACAAGATCATAGAATCAAAGAATTGTAGAAGTGATAAGGACCTTAAAAGTCAACTAGTCCAGAGACTATTAACCTTTTCTATGTCATGGATCCCTTTGGAAGTCTGATAAAGCCTATGGATCCCTTCTCTCTTTTTTTTTTGTTGGTATTGTCATTAAAAAATTTTTTTTTCTAAGCAATTTTTTCTTATTGCTGCACATTTTTTAAAATTTTATTAATTTACTTTGATTTATCAACAATCACTTCCATATGCTTTTGAGTTGAAAATTTTTCTCCTCCTTCCTTCCCCCCACCGTCCCCAAGATGGCACACAATCTGATATGGGCTTTATATTTACATTCCTATTAAACATATTTTCACATTAGTGAAGTTGTAAGTAAAAATTAAAACCAATAGGAGGAACCATCAGAAAGATGAAACAAAACTCAACAGAAGGTAAAAATAAGTGATAGCAATTCAACTTCCATAGTTCTTTCTTTGGATGTGGGCAGCATTTTCCATCCCGAGGCCTCTGGAGATGTCTTAGATCCTTGTAATGCTGAGAAGGATTCAGTTTAACAATCTTAGTCATCGCATAACATGGCTGTCATTGTGTACAAAGTCCTCTTGGTTCTGCTCACTTCACTCAGCATCAGTCCATATAAGTCTTTCCAGGTTTTTCTGAAGTCAGCCTGTTCATCATTTCTTATAGCACAATAGTATTCCATTACATTCATATACCACAACTTGCTCAGCCATTCCCCAATTGATGGGCATCCTCTCAATTTCCAATTCTTTGCCACCACAAAAAGAGCTGCTATGAATATTTTTGTACATGTGGGTCCTTTTCCCATTTGTTTGATCTCTTTGGTA